GAAAAGAAGGGAGACAGATATAAAGTCACATGCTTAAAATCCCAGCACTTAAGAAACTCAGGCAGGAGGAGCAGGAGCTTCAAGGCTAGCCTGGATTATACAGTGCAACCCGCCCCCCCCCAGCAACAACTAAAATCAAAACATCACCAAAAAATAAAGGAAAAGAAGAGAGCAACAAGCCTAGGGAATTTATAAGTGATTTGCCCAGGGACAGTCAGAACAAACAAAATGAGAATACAAGCTTGGTGTTGGGGATCTAGCCCAGTTGGCAAAATGCCTACCTAGAATGCATGAGCAGAGTTTGATCTTCAAACACTGCATAAACCAGGTATGATAGTGCACATGCAGGAAGCAAAGGCAGAAGATCAGAAGTTCAAGGTTATCCTCAACTACTAAGTGGCAAGTTCTTGATAAGTCTGGGTTACTGAGAACCTATCACAAAGCAAAGCAAAGCAAAACACAACACAACACAAGTTTAGTATCTCCCAACATAAGAAAAGTCTCCCTTCCAAATTCCTAAATTACTAATAATCACATGATTATCATAAAATAGTCTATAAGATAGCTTTAAATTTCATTTGACAGATGAGAATATTGAGGCAAGTGTTCAAATTTTCTGCTTTGTTTTTGGGCTTAAGTGAGACACTCTGCCTCAATATAAAAGGTGGAGAAAGCTGGAGAAAGGCACCGACATTGACGTCTGACCTCCATGTGCATGAGCACCTCCCTCATACCCACATAACACACACATACATATACATGCAAAAAAAAGGCAGCCAGCAAGTATAATTTGGGTTATAAAGTAGACTGTACCATGTATGTGCAGTGCCCTCAGGGGCCAGAAGAGGATATGGATCCCCTGGAACTGGAGTTACAGGCAGATGCTACACACGCCTGATGACCTGAGCTCAATCTCTAGATGCCATGGTGGAGAACTGACTCTCAATGGTACCCTCTGACTTAAACACACTCTGTGGCACTTACGCAACTGCACACACACACACACACACACACACACACAAATAATTAATTAAGATAATAATATATTAAAACAAAAAGAATGAATCCTGGAGTTGGATATGGTGACACAAGCCTGTAATCCCAGCAATAGATAGGATGAGGCACGAGCTTGGGCTTGAAATAACAGGCCAGTCAGGGATACATAGCAAAACCTGTCTCAACAAACCAAAATGAATACTGGTAATCATCATACAATATTTAGTATCAGTAAAAATGATAAAAGTATAACCATATTAATCACTTACTTTATTAACTTATTTTCTAACAATATTCTCTGGTGTCTATTTGGGTATGTCTATTACTGGAAATAATTTAAAAGATAATATCTATCCTTCGGTCAAAATAACTGAAACTACTGAAATTCTCTACATTTCTACGTACATTTCACACAAATATAATAACTGCTGTATAATTCCCAATTTTCTGTAGCTGTAAGGATTATAATATATATGAATCGGAAACTGTCATCTAATTTTAAATTATGAAAAGTCAAACTACAAAAGGACAGAAAGAATAGAACACTGTGCTATTGTTAGGAGAATGATCTACAACATTAGCTTTTCTTTCTTTTGTGGTACTACAGATTGAACATTGTACAGGATAGGCCACTGAATTATTATATCCACAGCAGCTTTGTTTTTAAATGCCTAATCAGAGGAACAAATCACTCAAAGTGAATTGACAAGTTATTCTAGTCTGTGAATACATTATTGAATTTTATGATATATCTAATAAGCAGCAGTTTAAAAGTACAGATCAAATGGGGGTTGGATGAGAAACTGACAGTCTTACCTAGGCAAAGAAACAGTATGCCTATTAAGCATATTTTGAAATATATTTAATATATCCAACAACTACAAGTGGCCAAACTTTTTTTTTTTTTTTTTTTTTTTTTGGTCTTTTTGAGACAACGTCTCCCTGTAGCCCCAGCTGGCCTGGAACGTAGACCAGGCTAGCCTCAAACTCACAGAGAACCACCTACCTCTGCCTCCCAAGTGCTGGGATTAAAGGCATGCACCACCATGCCTGGCCAAAATAATTTTGCTGGACATGGTGGTACACGCCTTTAGTCCAAGCTCTTAGGAGGCAGAGGCAGGCACTCTCTGTGAGTTCAAGGCCAGCCTGGTCTACATAGTGAGTTCCAGGCCAGTTGGGGCTACAGGGAGACCCTGTCTTCAAAAGACCAAAAGAAAAAGAAAAAAAGAATTTTTGCATTTATTAATTTATTAAGTATGTGTATATATATATATGTGGGTTCCTGCAGACATAACGACATCTGAAGACAACCTGCAAGAGTCAATTTTCTCTTTCTACAATATGGGTTCTAGGGCTCAAACTCAGGTCATGCATCAGTCTTAGTGGAAAGCACCTTAACTCAGCGAATCATACCACTAGTTCTTATTTTATTCAAAATATACAAACTATTGATTATTACCAATGTTTCTAAATGGTAGATATGCATAAATATTAACATTCATGCAAAAGTATTTGAAATTGAACTGGAGAGATGACTCAGCTGCAAAGAGCATGTACTGCTTTTACAAAGGACCTGAATGTAGTTCCCAATACCCACGTTAGGCAGCACATATATAACTCCTATAACTCCAGCTCCAGAGGATTCAATCCCTTTGTCTGCACATGCATATACATAATTAAAAAGAAAATAATAAATTTTTAAAAGTATTTAAAATTAAAAATATCTTACTAAACCAGCCCCTGCTTGAAGTAAGACATCTGCAACATCAGTATGTCCATTTTCACAAGCATAGGTTAGGGCTGTGTCTCCAGTTGCTGTTGTTGCATGCACACTCGCACCTAGAAAAAAATAAAAGATAAACATCTACCTTATAAACTGCACAATACACTTTAGTCCAATTTTGCAGTATAATGAAACTAAAGAATTCAAACCATGAAAACACCATGAGGATAGATTTTAATTATTTTCCTTTTTTGTCTGCTCTTATTTCCTCTACATATGCTTCAGCAAAACATATTGAACCTCACAGAAAATAAATCAAAAAAAATTTTTTTGGTTTATTTTTATTTTTATTTTTGAGACAGGGTCTCCCTGTAGCCCCAAGCTGTCCTGGAACTCACTATGTAGACCAGGCTGGCCTTGAACTCACAAAGATCCACCTGCCTCTGCCTCCCAAGTGCTGGGACTAAAGGCCTGTGCCATCACGCCCAGCTCCAAATGATTTTAAAAGACAGGAAATTGTATATCTCTGAAAAGACACACTTTAAGTAATAAAAGGCTACAAAAACAAAGAATTAAACAGTTTATGGACTCATATTGACTCTAGTGTTGATTTGTATTCTGAGACAGTTCTATGGATATTATTGGTACAAATCAAGCGACTAACTATTGCTAAGAAGTCAATTTTTTTGCCATGGTTAAGAAAAAATAGAGATTACTGGAGTTAAATAAAAACCCTGTCGTCCTGAATTGAAAGTATAGACATTAATTCATGATGTATTTTTTTTAATGTTTAAGAAAAACATACATTTCCTAACCCTGACCAACTTAAAAGTCCTGGAGACCCAATTACAGACAAAGCAAAAATAGTATTTCTAGCTTAGATCGTGGTCTCCAAGTACCGCTTCCTCCTGTACAGACCAGAATGTCTTAGAGAAATGACTGCTTCCAAGGTTGTAACAGGAACTGCATAACATAAGCCTAGAATACCCTGGTCATATCAGAAGACAAGGAAAATATCAGAGATGACAATGAAATCACATTATAATGATTGAGGAGTTAATCTTATGGACAATATCCCTTTTAAAAAAAAAAGCTGGGTGGTGGCAAACATGTCTTTAGTCCCAGCAAAAGCAGGCCTCTGTGAGATTGAGGCCATTTTGTTCTACATGGCAAATTACAGGTCAGTTGGGGCAACAGGGACACCCTGTTTCAAAAACCCAAATAAATAGCAATAATAATAAATAAAAACAATATTTGCGTTAAAAAGGATGGAAGCATAAGCTAGTACTAGGCAAGTCCTCTACCACTAACTATATCCTCAGTCCTAATTTCATTTTTTATTGATAAACAACACTTGTATATGTTTATGAGGTGCAATGTGATATTATGAACACATTTGAATAATCAAATCAAATTAATATCTATCACCTCACATACATGATCATTTCTTGGTAATGAAAACATCCAGTCTAATCTAAAAATTTTGAATTAGGGATTGGTGAGATAGCTCAGTGGGTAAGTGTTTGCAGCACAAGCCCGATGACCTGAGTTTGATCCTCAAACCCATATTGGAAGGAAAGAACCAACTCCAGAAAGTTGTCCCCTGACCTCCACATGTGGGTTATGGCATGTGCATGCCAGCATTCACAAACATGTATCATATACACACACAATAACAATAAAAATTTTTAAATAATAAAAAACACATTAACTACTAACCAGTGCTGTGAAATAAATCACTAAAACTGAAAGCTCTAACTGAAATTTGGTACCTTTTGCCAACATCTCTCCTGTCCCTTCTCTACTCTTTTCTCTCTCTGTTGTTTTCTGAGACAGGGTCTCATTACGTAGACCAGGCTGACCTCCTACTCACAAAGACCTGTCTAACTCTCCTCCCAAGTACTGGGATTAAAGGTGTGTGCCACCACACTGGGCTCTCTCTGTATGTTCTGTATTCCTTTCCCCATCCCTACACTCTGATAGCCACCTCTACACTTGTATTTTTCTGTGTTAGAAGGCATTTTAAAGGCACATACCAGCAGCGAGCAAATATTTAGCCAATTCCAGGTGTCCTTCCTGTGAAGCTTCCATTAAAGGTGTAGAGCAGCCAAGTTCTATATCAGCTCCTGCCTTAATCAGGAAGTCTGCAACTTCAGAAAATCCTCCACAGCAAGCCAAAGTAAGAGCAGTTTCTTGGGTTTCTTCTGTCTGGGCATTTATATTTGCTCCTAAAACCGTAACAAAGATAAGACTAGTTGCAAGAGAATTCAATTACTCTGATTTGTGATAATCATCTCTACCGTCTCTGCTTAGGTTGATCCTTTTAGGGTACTGAGAATTTATTTTATAAGAGGATTGAAAGTTTGGGGGCTGGAGAGATGGCTCAGCATTTAAGAGCACTGGCTATTCTTGCAGAGGACCTGGGTTCGATTCCTAGCACCCACATGGTAGCAAACCATCCAAAACTCCAGTTCCAGGGGATCAGGCGCCCTCTTCTGACCTCCACAGGCACTGCAGGACATAAATGCACCTACCTACATGCAGGCAATACGCTCATACACATAAAAATAAAATTAAAAAAAAAAAAAGCTCAAGGTCTGTCTGGGCTATAGATAATTTATTTTATCATCAATGCAAAAAATAATTAAAAAAAAAAACCTCCCAAATCCTCCTTAAATGATAAATAATACACCCAAAGGAAATGATTTTTTTAAAAGAATTACAACTATTGGAGCTGGAGAGATGGTTCAGCGGTTAAGAGCACCAACTGCTCTTGCAGAGGATCTGGGTTCAATTCCCAGCGCCCACATGGCAGCCTACAAACTCTGTAACTCCAGTTTCAGGGGATCCAACTCCCTCTTCTGACCTCTGCGGGCACCGCACGACATGGGTGCATTTACATACATGCAGGCACTACACTCATACACATAAAATAATAAGAATAAATAAAACACTTTTTTTAAAAAGTACAACTGCTTTACCTTGTGCTAAAAGTAGTGCCACCATCTCCTCATGTCCTTCCCGAGCAGCTTCCATCAAAGGTGTGTATCCTTCATCATTAACTTCTTCAAGATTCGCTCCCCTTTCAATAAGTAGTGCTGCCAATTCAACATGTCCACCACAGGCAGCTAGAGTCAATGGGGACTCGAATGAATCTACAGGCATGTTCACTTGAGCACCACTATCCAAAAGCAACCGTGCCACCTCTACATGTCCATCCTGAAAATTTTCAAGGTAAAACAAGGAAACAAACTTTTTAAAGAGATTTTTTTTAAGTGGAAACAAAGGAAAGCAAGAGACTAAAGAAAGATGATTCCACTTAGACATCATATATATTACCATACCATCTGAGCCTTTGAATTTTGTTTTTTGTTTTGTTTTGTTTCCACTGAGGCATTTTATTTATGCATGTTTTACATCACTAGAAAAAGAATCACAGTATTTTCCCTCCTAGGGGTTTGGTCCATGATGCCAGGCGAGGTTGTCAGTACAATGAAACCAAACTGATGGGATGGGAGTAGATTATTCTGCCACTTTTTCTAGGTCTTCGAGCTACATGTCAAATCTGAAGCTGATTACACCACACTTGTTAAACCTGCCCGTGAGGTTCACAACAATTTTCCCAGCTCTGTGATCATCAATGATTTCAAATTCACCAATGTAACCATGCTTCATCATCACAGTCAGGAAGCAGATGATGACTTTAGAGCATGGCCTGATGAGGACCTGGCATTTGCCTCTCTTCTCAGCATTGTTGATGCTCTTCAGAGCATCGGCCAGGACATTCATGCTCACCATGATGGCTGCACAGAAAGATGGAGGAAAGAGCAAGAGTCTTTGTATTTTGAAATAACTTTGAATTTCTACATTCTTTGAAGTTCAAAAAAAACTACCAAATCCACAGTCAATGATACCTCAATAATGACTACTGTTTATACAAATGTCAGGTCAAATACAGCCATAGTCTCAAATTTGGGGTTGCAGGGGCTGTTCAAATGTGGAAATCATATTCCATCTATCTTAGAAACAAAAGCTTGACAAAAATAAGAAAAATACAAAAAACTTTGTGATGTCATTACAATCACTTGGGATTACATCTCTAAGGTAAATCCCTACAGAGTCATACTGCTCTGTATTTTCCTTGCCATAACAACTTGTTGCAACAAGGCAAATAATTTTATAACTATGTAAAGATCTTATTTATATGTAAATAATTTATCAGAGCCTTGCAAATGCTAATCCCGTACTCCGCCAGTGAGTTGACTCCAAAGTTCAGTTTTTAATCTTTAAAAGATTTATTTTTATTAATTTTAATTATGTATATGTGGGGGGGGGTATGTGTACCTGAGCCTAGTGCTCCTAGAAGTCAGGCCTTGAAGCCCCCCTGGAGCTGGAGTTACAGGCAATTGTGAGCTGCCCAACATGAGTGCTGGGAACCAAACATATATATGCAGGTCCTCTGCAAAAAAGGTATACTCTCTTAACACACTAAGTCATCTTTCCAGCCCCCTCAGTTTTATATTCCTGACTCCAAACTTTTATTGGGCTTAATATTTGTTGCAGGCATACAGTCACATGTATCATTCTACATTTCAAAAATTATCAAAACATTGCAAATAAAAAGTAAATTCTGTTGTATAGATTTTGAGCAATTTTGTGTGTATGTGTGTGTATATGGTTGTTTGTATATGGTATGTATATATACAGAACCCAGGGCCTCACACATGCTAAAGTAAATGCCCTATTATTGAACTATATCTTCACTTTAGGGCAATTCTTTACATAAAGAATTGATTAAGGCCAGCAAGATGACTTCAGCGGGTAAAGACATTTGCTTCCAAACCAAACGCTCAGAGTTCAAACCCCAGGATCCACCTGACAGAAGGAGAGGTAGATATTGAAATTCAACACTTAGTTTAGATTTCTTTCTTTTTTTCTTTCTTGTTTCATATGGAATTTTTAATACTTTTTATTATATTTTAAAATTTTATTTTGTATGTGAGTGTGTGTGTGTTTTATGTGTATAAGGGCATGCTGCCACAGCACATGTGGAGGTCACAGAACAACTTGCAAGAGTTGGTTCTCTGCTTCCACCATGTGGGTCCCAGGTTATAAGGCTTGACAACAAGCACCTTTAACCACTGAGTCATCTCATGGGCCCCTTGACAGGTTTTAATCACTTTTAACACAAATGCCAAAACCAGGTGACTTCATATTAAAATTTCAATTTTAAGAACTGCAAAAATTAAACAACATCCCACAAATTACCTAGTTAAGAAATAGGTTACTATTTCTGGGTTGACAGCATTAATGGTGATTTTTTTTTTTTTTTTTTGTCTTTTTGAGACAGAGTCTCCCCGTAGCTCCAGCTGTCCTGGAACTCACTATGTAGACCAGGCTGGCCTTGAATTCACAAAGATCCGCCTGTCTCTGCCTCCTAAGTGCTGGGATTAAAGGCATGTGCCACCACACCCAGCGATTTTTCTTTTTACTATAAAATGTTCAGATTGAGCATATATCTCTGGACTTCAGAGATGGCTCAGCAGTTAAGAGCACTGGCTGCTCTTACAGAGGACCTGGGTTCAAGTCTCAGCATTCACATGGCAGCTAACAACCATCTGTAACTCCAGTTCCAGGGGATCTGACACCTTCTTTTGACCTCTGTGGGCACTGCATGACACGAATGTACTTACATACATGCAGGCAATACACACATACACATAAAATAAAAATATAAATAAAATATTAAAAATACATATATAACTGTAGGGGCTGGAGAGATGGCTAGTGGTTAAGAGTGCATACTACCAGCTGGGTATGGTAGTGCATGCCTTTAATCCCAGCACTCCAGGAGGCAGAGGTAGGCAGATGGCCTGGTCTATATATATATAGCAAGTTCCAGGCCAGCTGGGCCTATTGGGAGACCCTTTCTCAAACAACAAATAAAAAAGGAGTGCATACTGAAGAGGACTCAAATTTGGTTCCTTGCACCCATACTGGAGCTTATAACCTGTAACTCCAGCTCCAAAGGATCCAATGCTGTCTTCTGGCTTCTGCAGGCATGTGGCATGCACTTACACATACACATAAAAAAAATTTAAAAATCTGGATTTTTATCTTCAATAGAAACAACTAACTGCTTTATCAGTCATTCAGAGGATATACTCTCAACATATCCCAGGAATATTTCAAAGTCAGTTTGCTTTATAATTATTTATTTACTTAATATTTTTTTAATTTTATTGATTACTCCTGTGTGTGTGTGTGTGTGTGTGTGTGTGTGTGTGTGTGTGTGTG